TGGGTTTGAACCTCCAGCCTTCTGGTTAGCAGTCAAGTGCCTTAGGCACTATGCTACCAGAGCTCCCTTAGTCCCCTTACTATGTATTATTTTTTTCTTTATATAATGAATTGTTTAAAGATGTACAGTGAAAAGTATGCTCTTGTTTAGGAAGTTCTTCTCAGATGCCCTCAGGGTCATTTAATCTCATGTAAAGAAATTAACAAAACGACTGGCACATTGTTTACATGTAAGAGTTGTTAGCCATCATCATCATCATCAGCAACAATATTATTGTGAAACCAGAACTCCAGGAAGTCATTTGACCTATGCATAGTTACACAATTTAACATGCTGTAAAGTTATTGATTAGTTCTGTTGGACTAAAGATAACCATGGACAAAGAGCTAGTGGAGGTGGAACTCTGGGGAAGTTCACTTCAATAAACACGGATTGAATATGAGGTCCCTTTCAAGTATAAGCTGGACCTAGTTTACATCATATTGTCAGTTAGGAATCATTTTACTTAACCTGAAGTTTTAACTCTTCTACAAACACCCTTCTTGAATGTTCTAAATAAGTAAAGAAATCCTTTTTGAAGGCCTAAGAAGTTTACCCAGGCATACAACAAGATGAACTCAAAAGTCTGCTTATATATCTTATATATTATTACCCTTGCTTAGGAGCAAAAACATGCATTATGGAGGCCAACTAACTCGAGATTGAATCTAAGCACTGCCCCTACTAGCAAGAGAAGGCGTACTGTGCTAGAGATGAACAAAGATTGACCGAGGAAGCTGAGCCAAAGGAATAATACCAAAAACAAACTCATTGCCGTTGAGTCAATTCTGACTCATAGCACCCCCCATTGGGTTTCCATGGCTGTAAATCTTTACTAAAGTAGATTGCCCCATCTTCCTTCTGGGAGCAGCTGGTGGGTTTGAATCACTGACCTGGTTGGCAGTCAAATGCCTTATCCACTATATGAGCAGAGCTCCTTGAAGGAACAATGGAAGGATTGAATACTGGCTTGTTCTTTAATGTGGGAGCAGCATGGTGGTGTGAGACAGAATTCGTTGTATTTGCTCTGATGGGGATGATTAAGTCCAGGGCTGTGTTGAGGACATGGTGAAGTGTAAATGTATGAGGACTGGGGAGGAAGGACTAGAGCCACTTGGAGGAAATGGAACCCTTCTGTTTGATACCACTACCTGGAGTTAGACACACCCAGGCAGATAAGAAGCAGAAGCAGTCTTTACTTGGATAGATAAGGAATTAAAAAGAATTATATTTAGGTATCTTCAGTGAATTGAGAGACAGATCAAGGAAAACACAGAGAAAACCCTAGAACAATTTCAAAAGACAATACTAGAACAAAATGACAAAACAAATGAAAAGTTACAAATGATACAAAATCTACACACAGATATCCAGAAGATTAATACTAAATTTTCAGAAATAGATAAGACATTGAATGGGCAAAGGAGCAGAATTGAATCAATGGAAGACAGAATTAGGGAGGTTGAAGGCAAATACTGGAACACTTCTTTGGAAAGAGATCAATTGAGAAAAGATCAAAACAAAATGAAGAATGCCTAAGGTTCATATAGGATACCATCAAAAGGAATAACCTACATGTAATTGGAATTCCAGAACAGGAAGAGACAGATAAAACCACAGAGGGAATCATCAAAGATTTGTTGGAAGAGAATTTTCCTGGTATGATGAAACATGAGACTATATCCATTCAGGAAGTCCAATGAACCCCAAACAGGATAGACCTTAAGAGAAAATCACCCAGACATATCATCATCAAACTCACCAATACCAAAGACAAAGAAAGAATCATGAAAACAGCATGGGAAAAACAAAAAGTTATCTAAAAGGGGCAATCAATAAGACTAAGCTCAGATTTCTCAACACAAGCCATGCAGGTGAGAAGACAATGGGATGATATATATAAAACATTGAAAGAGAAAAATTTCCAGCCCAGAACTATGTACCCATCAAAATTGTCCCTCAAATATGATGGTGAAATTAGGACATTCCAGATAAGCAGAAATTAAGGAAATTTGTTAAAACCAGACCAACCTTACAAGAGATGCTAAAGGAAGTCCTTTGGACAGAAAAGCAACAACAACCAGCAACAACTGACCATTAACACACATGATGACATAACCCAGAAACCAACCCAGCTATGGAAGTATCCAAAGTAAATAAGCCTACAAGATTGTAAACAGGGAACCAGAGACATAAATTGACAAACGAGGACAGCTACAAACCAAAAAGAGGGAAAAACTGTGTCATTACAGAACTTCTGGATGGTAGGGAAGTTAAGACAACTACAAGATAGAATGGACTGTTCTAAACTTGGGAAGAAAACTACAAATCACAGGGTAACCTCAAAGAAAAATGATAATCTTTCACATCAAATAAAAAAAGAGGACCAGCACAAATATTTAGCCAATACTAAATACTAAAACAACAGCAATGAAGGAAGTGATAACACGATTCATAAACAAAAGGAGCTCAGCACAGAAAATTATATGGAACAAAGAAATCGACACCACAAAAAAGCACATAAAAAAATGACAGGAACACATTCATATTTGCCAATCATTACATATCTGGCAAGGGACTTATCTCTAAGACTTACAGAAAACTCTAATGGCTCAACACCAAAGGAATTAACAATCCAGTTGAAAAATGGGCATAAGACATGAATAGACACTTCACCAAGGAGGATATTCAGGTGGCCAGCTAATACATGAAGAGATGCTCACAACAGAGAGATGCAAATCAAAACAACAATAAGATACTGTTTCACCCCAGCACTGATAGCAAGGTTCAATGAGACAGAAAACAACAAATGCTGGCAGAGACGTGGAGAGATTGGGACTCATACATTGCTGGTGGTACTGTGAAGTGATACAACCACTGTGGAAGACAATATGGTGATTCCTTAGAAAGGTGAAATTGGAAATACCATTTGACCCAGAAATCCCATTACTAGTTATATATCCTAGAGAGGTGAGAGCCAGGACGGGAACAGATATATGCACACTCATGTTCCTCACAGCACTATTTACAATAGCCAAAAGATGGAAACAACCTATGTGCCCGCCAGCAGAAGAGTGGATGACCAAACCATGGTACATACACATGATGGAATGCTATGCAGCACTAAACAATAATGGAGAGTCTGCAAAACACCACATAATATGGATGGACTTGGAGCACATTATGCTGAGTGAAATAAGTCTATCACAGAAGGATAAATATGGTATTAGTTCATTGTTGTGGAGGGTCAAGGAAAGGTTTATATATGGAGGGAAACTTTCTTTGTTGGTTGCCAGGGGTGGGAGGGGAGGAGAGGGAATACTGGAAAAAAAAATGCATTGACCCATGCCACTTTAGTTTTGTGTATTTCACTGTACATAAATTATATTTCAATAAAATGCATTAAAAAAAAGAAGAAAGGACACACCTTCTATCCACTCTCACTTTTTCTTTTGCTCTTGCAGTCAGTAAGCTGTAAGGTTCTGGAGCCATCTCAGGTTCACTTCCTTGTCCTCAGAACTTACGTAGTGCCTGCCCAATCCCCTGCACCACTCATTAGCTTTGTCACCTTGGCTTCACTGCCTCATTATTCCTTTCCTTCTGAAAGATGACAAAAATCAGTACTTTTGAAGGGTGGTTCAAAAGGTGAAAAAGATGCATTGACATGGCAGGCAGTGATATAACTACCTTTATAGTTGGAGAACTGAGGCTCCAAAAAAGTGAAGCAACTTGCCCAACAACCAACAACTAGTGAGCCACAGAGTCCAGATTCACATATGACTCCCTGGAGTGCTTTTCTCCATACCTGGCCCCAGCCCTTAAGACTGGGTTTTATGGCGGCCCTTAAGACAGCCTTTAACTTTCCATTCTCTCACACAGGTCAAGGAATGGGAAGTTGTCTTCTGGTTAAAAAAGAGATTCTGATTTACTAAGAATTTACATGTGCTGACAACAGCAACACACCACACTTAAGGAGCTCTGGTAGTGTAGTGGGTAAAGCATTCAGCTGCTAATCAAAAGGTTGGTGGTTCAAACCTACCAGCCACTCCATGGGAGAAAGATGTGGCAGTCTGCTTCTGTAAAGATTTACAGCCTTGGAAACCCTATAGAGCAGTTCTATTCTGCCCTTAAGGGTTGCTATGAGTTATAATTGACTGGATGGCAACATGTTTGGTTTTTCCGTTTTATAGCAGACTGACGAAAACAAAAAACAAACAAATAACAACAACAAAAAAACCACCAAACTCACTGCCATCAAGTCCATTGTGACTCGTAATGACCCCTCTTTGGGTTTCTGAGGCAGTAGATTGACCAGTCTTCCTTCCAAAGAGTGGCTGGTGGGTTTGAACCATCAGCCTTTTGGTTAGCAGTCAAATGCCTTAGGCACTGCACAACCATAACTCTCTATTGCAGACTTAGAGTAACCAAAACTCAGCCTTCTTTTGTGGATCCAACATGCTGAGTTATTTCTCTCCTGTCACTGGACTCTAGGACCTTGGTTATTTATCCATTGTTATACCCTGAGTGCCTTGTTATGGGGACACATAGTGAGTGTTCAATCAATTCATGTTTCATGAAATATTATTGAACATTTCAGAAAGAACTTCCCAATCCTGTATTGAATTGAATTGAAGTCTATTTGAAAGTAAAAGGAGAAAAGGGGACAGCGAGAAACACTGTCATCAAAACACAAGTCAGAATTTAGAAAACAGAAGTAGTTACAGTGATCAATCTTAGAAATCCACATTTTCCAGAGTGTGAAAATAAGGCACATACAGGTAAAAGAGTTTGGTGCATAGCAGCAGAAAATCTGTGGCACTCCGCAGAACTAATATTTCTGTTCTGAGCCACTTGGTTGCACACCCACACACAACTACCCTCAGTGCAAGCCCTTACAACTACACAGCCAAACCTTTCATTCCTGGACACAGACATGCATATTCAATGTGTCTGTTTTTCAGCTTGTGAAGAAATATGGGAACGTGTTTAGCCTGGAGTTTGGGGACATATGTGGCGTTGTTGTAACTGGATTGCCCTTAATCAAAGAAGTCCTTGCCAACCAAGACCAAAACTTTGTGGACCGCCCCATCACTCCTATCCGAGAGCATGTCTTTAAGAAAAATGGTAAGTTTCTTGATTAATGTGAAATTTGTTTATTTGATGTTGTTATATGCTGTTAAAGGTGTCTTTGTGACTCTAATGCTTTGACATTCCCAGAGACTAGGCCCATTATAAAATTCCTGCCATTAAAGGAAGCTGGATGTCCATTTTTTTTTTCAAATTAAGGCACCTGATCTGAGGATTTGGCACTGTCAGACTTAATGTCAGGGATTTAGGTGAATTTGTACTTCCTGCAGAAACTCACTCTAGACACCTTGATAATCAAGTAACCACATCACTCCATGAGAGCAGGAGGAGACAACACACCCTCTCATTCCCATTCCACACTGCTTCCCTTCAGAAAATGGATGTGGATCGGCTGCCTTCTGATGATCATCTACTTCCTTTTTCTTGCCTCTGGCTCCTTATGCTTTATCATTAAGATTGTGACAAACAGGGTATCTCAAGTCTTCCAGTGTATCACAACCCAAGGCATGTTAGAATAAGTTGGCATGAATATTTAAAATTATTATTAAATAAACACTTAAAAATTGAAATGAGAAACTCAAATCTACTACTCTACCAAAGCACTATTTTTTTTTTTTTTCTGGTTCTTCCCAGTTGCTCTTTGAAATGTTTGTTCTAGTCACTCCACATCCATTCAGTGTGTTTATTAATTACCTGACATGTAAAGCAGTGTGTTAGGCACAAGGGATATAACAGTGAGGAGAACAGACAAAACCCCTGTCCTTACATAATTTACATTCTACTTAAGGAGAAACACAGTGACAATTCTCATTTAAAGCCTGGAGTGTTATGAAGGAGCTCTGGTGGTATAGTGCCTAAGGCATTTGACTGTTAACCAGAAGACTGGCGGTTCAAATCCACCAGCCACTCCTCGGAAGGAAGATTGGGCAATCTACTTCTGTAGAGATACCATCTCAGAAGCTCAAGGAGGGGTTGCTATGAGTTGGATCTGATTCGATGGCAGTGAGTATTTTTAGTTTTTTTTTTATTTGAGAACGTTATGAAGATAAATGCAGGGTGCACTTTTTTAGGATATCCAATCTAGTAGAAGGATCCAGGAAGAAATAACAGAAGGGAATGACAGTCTTAATAAGGTGAAGAGAAAGAAGAAATAAGGCAGAGGGAACATCATTTGAAAAGACCCTGAGGTGGTGAGGATGGTGAATCATTCATGCAACTTATTGTTAAGGGTTTTGGATTTTATTCCAGTAACAATGGAAGCTATTGAATGATTTTTAGTAGAGAAGGAAATCATCCTGTATACACTGTACATTTTTAATGCTTATTTAGGCTGCAGAGTGGAGAAAGGAATTAAAGGAGCAAAAGCACATGCAGAGATATGCATTTAAGAGTTCATTGTAGCATTCTAGGTTATAGACAGTGTTCACTTGGACTAGGGACGTGGCAAGAAATGACCATAGGTTAGACCGAAATGGTGGTGGTGAACATGAATGAATTCAACATATTCAGGAGGTAAATCCAATATACTATTTAGAGCTAGATATTGGGATGTTGGATGGTAAAAAAGGTACTGAGGTGGACCCCCAACTGGTTAGATGATGGAAAAAGGGAAGAGTTGGAGGAGGATAAGGGCTTTGCTTTGGTATAAATTGGTGGGAAGTTGTATGTAGAAAATCACTTATTCAGCCTTGGATATACTGATACTAAAATACCTTTAAGTTGGAAACGTTAAGCAGACAGAGGTACGTATGGGTCTTGAGCCAGTAGCAGACAGACAGTCCCTGTCAAAATAAGTTATTTAGAATTTTAGGAGTTGATGAGATTTCCCAAAAATGGAATATAGAGTGAGAAGAAAAGAAGCTGTAGACCTAATCTTAAAGAACTCCATCATGTCATAATTTACCAAAAGGTGAGCCAGTTAATGATAAAGGAAGTTACTATAGAAGTAAGAGGAAAATCTGGAGCGTGTAGTGTCCAAAGAAGCATTGGAGGAGAATTTTAAGAAAGAAGTGTCTAGTGCTGCTGCAAGATCAAGTAAGATGAGGTTGAAAATATCATTGGAGTTGACAGCAGAGAAGGGCAACCTCATTGTATGCAGGAGCTGGTAGAGGCCAAAGCCAGATATTAAAAGGAGTTAGTGCTCTGGAAGGGAAGAACTGGACAGGAGTGCAGCACTCATTACCTGTGATACAAAACAAATGAGCATCTACTGAAAATACTGAGATCTATTTTTCCTCTTTGCTTATGCTATACTTCTTTATACATGAAACATTACTACTTGTCTTTTTCTTTTTTTAATTTTTATTGTTATAGTGTGAAAGTTTACAGAGCAAATTCATTTTCCATACAGCAGTTCACATATACTCTGGCTCATGACATTGACTGCAATTTCTCAGAATGCAACAGCTTTCTTCCCACTTCCTCCCCATGGTCACCTCTTCCCTGTGTCCTTCTCTTCCATGCACTCCTGCCCCCAGCTGTCTCCCTGTGCATACACAGCCCTACTACTCTCCCATGATTGATCTCTCCAAGGAGTGTATCTACCTAATTTAAATGTTCACCTCATATGCCTGTCTTTTGTTTACCTTGAAGCCACAGGAGTGGGTTCAATTCCAGACCTGAAGAGCAGGTAGGGGTTGTAGTCTCAGGGTTCCACCAGGCTTTATCAGACAAGCAAACCTGGCCCCCCCCTTTTTTTTTTTTCTTTTATGATTTTACTTTTGTTCCACATTGTTCTTCTACTCTATATAGGATCTCCTTCATATATCCCCCTCCAAGTGGTTGACAGTGGTAGCCGGGCATCTAGGTCTTCTGGTTTCATAGATATATAGGCTGAGGATCACATGGTGTACCAGTCCCTGGAACTAATGGTTTCCATGCATCTTTGGTTTTCTTTATTTTTCTTTGCTTTGGATGAGGAGAGACCCATCATTGCACCTTGGTGGTCACTTGCAAGCTTTTAGATCCCAGTTGCTACTTGCCAAAGTAGGAAGTGGAACAGTGTTTTTGTGTACTATGTTATGCCAATTGAGCTTGATGTCCCCTGCAACCATGATCCTGTGCCCACAGGTCCAACTAGTCCCTCCCTCTGGGTAGCTGGCTGTGGCTAGGAAGTGACTACAACCTTGTCCCTTGTCAGCTCTACTATATACCTGGAAATTCTTACAGAACATACAAATACACTTATAGAAACATTGTCTTCCAACCCTATACATGGTCATGGGCACACTCCTCCCTCCATTGTTGTTGTTGTTATGTGCCATCAAGTCAAACCTGACTCATAGCGACCCCTCCTTGTGTTGCTGAGGCGGTATCACTAAGGAAGTAGATTGCCAAACCTTACTTCCGAGGAGTGGCTGGTGGGTTTGAACCACCAGCCTTCTGGTTAGCAGTCAAGTGCCTTAGGCACTATGCTAGCAGAGCGCCCCCCCATAAACATAGCTAATAGTTCAGCCTGTCCACCCATCTATCCAACTGTGTATCAATGTTTGCCATCACTGACAATATAGTCTTATATGCACAAAAGGGTTCATCTTTGTTGTCTGTGCCTCCCATGCACATCTATGTCTTCCTCTTCCTCAATGCCACTGTATTGATCACTGACATTTAGTGCATTGCTCTTCCCTTCACCCTAATCAATACTTCTCTCTACCTATTTAGGAGTGTTCCCTCCCCTCCCTACTCACCCCTGGTAACCAACAAAGAAAATTCCCTTCCGTATATAAACTTTTCCTTGACTTTTTACAATAATGGACTAGTACAATATTTGTCCTTCTGTGATTGATTTATTTCACTCAATATAATATCCTCCAAGTTCATCCACATTATGTGGTGTTTTGGAAATTCTACTTTATTCGTTAGGGTTACATAGTATCCCTTTGTGCTTATGTACCATAGTTTGGTTATCCATTCTTCTATTGATGGGCACCTAGATTGTTTCCATCTTTTTGCTATTGTAAATAGTGCTGCAGTGAACATGGGTGTGCATATATCTGTTCTTGTCCTGGCTCTCACTTCTTTAGGATATATACCTAGTAATGGAATGACTGGGTCAAATGGTATTTCTAATTCCAACTTTTTAAGGAATCGCCATATTGCTTTCCACAATGGTTGTATCATTTGACAGTCTCACCAGTAGTGTATGAGAGTCTCAATCTCTCTGCATCCTTGTCAGCATTTATATTTTCTGTCTTGTTGAACTTTGCTGCTCGTGCTGAGTCAAGATGATCTCTCGTTTTTTTTTTTTTTTTTTATTTCCATCACTCTGATGGCTAATGATTGTGACCATCTCTTCATGTGTTTGTTGGCCACTTGAATATCCTCTTTGGTGAGGTGTCTATTCATGTCTTCTGTCCATCTTTTAATTGCATTATTTGTCTTTTTGTTGTTCAGGTGTTGGAGTTTTCTGCATATTTTAGAGATAAGTCCCTTGTCAGATATATCATTGCCAAATATTTTTTTCACAATCTGTAGGTTCTCTTTTGATTCTTTTGCAGAAGTCTTTGGAAGCACAAAAAAATTTAATTTTTAGAAGGTTCCATTCATCTATTTTATTTTCTGTTGTTTTTGCATTTTGGGTTATGCTTGATAGTCTATTTATGCCATATTCTAGGGTCCCTAAATTTGAACCTGTCTTTTCCTTAAAGAATTTTATAGTTTCAGATTTCACATTTAAGTCTTTGATCCATCAGAAGTTAGATTTTGTATATAGTGTGAGATACAGATCTTGTTTCATTTTTCTGCAAATGGTTATACAGTTTTGCCCACACCATTTTTTAAATGGACAATCTCTTCCTCACTAATTGGATTTCAGGCCTTTGTCAAAGATCAGCTGACCATACATCAATGAATCTATTTCTGGGTTCTCAATTCTATTCCAGTGGTCTATGTGTCTGCCGTGGCACTAATACCAAGCAGTTTTGACTACTGTGGCTGTATAGTAGGTTTTTAGATCCAGGAGTGTGAGACCTCCTACTTTGTTCTTCTTGAATAGTGCTTTCCTTATCTAAGGTCTCTTTCCTTTCCATATAAAGTTA